CCCTGTGTCAAAACTCCAAAGGTGCCTGCTGGCTCAAAAAGGTTGGGTACCCCTAACCCTAGGTGGTATTTGGGCATGGTGGTAACATGGTGATTGGGGACTAATAATCCCACAAGTTAAAAAGATCTAATTGTGGCTAGAAACAAAAAGGTATCTTCAGTATCACTTGTGAAATAAGCCTCCATGGCAACTGGAAGAGACCAAGAAAGAACCTGCTCTTCTATTGTACATACCCAGCCATTGCTTTAGTACATTGCAGTCGTGAGTGGGCAGCATGGAAGGGTCTGCTTGTTCAAATAAGTACATGTTTTGTTCCTTGGGAAGATCAGCCTTCTGTAAAAGCCATCCAGCTGTTTCAGCTGCCACTGTCAACACATCTGCTTCATTTCACAGTTAGAGAGAATAGCATTCTCCTTCTGCCATCTCAGTCTACTTTCCCTTTCCCTTCAGCAGCCTACCTTTGTAAGCCAAAGAATGCGCCTGGCAAGATGGAGTAGGAAATCCACCACAGGCCAACAGCACCCATCATTCAGTAACTTGACTGCTTACTCTAAGTCAGCACCCAGTGATAAAGCTGGTCTATGGATTTTTCCATACAAGATACAGAATTGAATCACAGTTTGAGAGCCTTCTGCCAAGGCAGTCTGTTAGGGAACAGAACAATGCCAGTTTAGAAAGTTTTAGACAGATGTTTTGAAAAGAGGGGAAGAGTGTAGAAATGTGAAGGCTGAAGGGGGGGAAGAACTCTCCGAGGAGGGTTTTTTTAAAAAAACAAACAAACACAGAAAAATTGAAAAATTGGGAAAGCACTGGGGAAAAAGAACTGCTAAGATTTTTTTTGAATGAGTGGAATGCCTTTTAAGACTGAAAAGAGCAAGAGTCCAGTAGCACCTTAAAGACTAACAAAATTTGTGGCAGGGTATGAGCTTTGATGAGTCACTGCTCACTCATTGAGATACAGCTAGAATGTAAGTCCATCTGTCCTTATAACTGGAGAGTAGAGTGATTTCAGATGCCGAATGACAACAGCAGATGAATGATAATAGCAGGTGTGATTGGATTAGGTGCAGAGGTCATTTCGGGGGGGAACGCGGGGGATCGCAGTTCCCCCGGATGAGGTACGGGGGCGGGGCACATGACGAAGCCCCGCCCCCTGCTTCCGGCCACCCCGCTTCCGGCCCTCATTCAGCCAGGAGGAGGCAGGAGAAGAGGGAGGGTAAGTTGCTTCCTCCCTGCCTCTCCCCACCCCTGCCTGCCTGGGGCCAGGGAGGGCCTTCGCGGGGCTTCCTCGCACTCCCGCCGGCCTTGCAGGTCCACCTCATGGGGCTCGGCAGTGGAGCTGGAAGGCCGGCGCCGGCCGGGACCGTTGGGGGCGGGGTGTGTGGCCTTTTGACACACTTCCGGTGATGTCAAGGGGTGTGGCCTTATGACACACTTCCGGTGATGTCAGGGTGTGTGGCATATGCTAATGAGTTATGCTAATGAGTTCCCCTAGCTCTTTTTCTACAAAATGACCCCTGATTAGGTGTGAGTAGGTGTGGAGAAATCAGCATTGGTAATAAGACAGGAAACCTAGGTCTCAATGCAGTCCAGGAGGATGCATTGTCTTGAGCTTCATTATCTGTTGCAATTCAGCAGTCTCTCTTTCTAATTTCCCTTTGAAATTCCTTTGTAAAAGAACTGCTACTCTTAGGTCAGCAACTGAATGTCCTGGAAGGTTAAAATGTTTCTCCACTGATTTTTGAATGTTGTGGGTCCTAATGTCAGACTTAGTCCATTTATTCTTTGACGTAAGGACCGGCCTGTTTGTCCAATGTAGAGGGTAGAAGGGCATTGCTGCCATATGATAGCATAAATCACATTAGGATGAGTAGGGGTATGAACCTGAAGTGGTATTGCTGGGTCCAGTGATGGTGTTGCTAGGATCTATATGAGAGCAAAGTTGACATCTTGTTTTGTTGCAAGCCTTGGTACCAGAGTCCATGTTACTGTTAAGTAGTTTATCATTGTAGGTGAGAAGCTTTTATGGGTTAGCAGGTTGTCTGTAAGCAAAAAAAGATTGCCCCCGTCCAGTGCCTGTGTGAAGGAAGTGTCACTATCCAGCATGGTTTGTAGGTTAGTAATATGTTGTACACTTTAAACTGGCATGGAGCTGAGGCTGTGGCATGGCATTCAAAGACTGCATGTGCCAATAAGTAGGGATGCCAGCCTCCGGGGGGACCTGGAGATCCCCTGGAATGACAACTTATCACCGGACAACAGAGATCAGTTTCCCTGGAGAAAATGGTGCTTTGGAGAGTGGACTCTGTGGCATTGTACCCCACGGAAGCCCCCAGGCTCCATCCGCAAATCTCCAGGAGTTTCCCAACCTGGATTTGACAACTCTACCCCCATCCCCCACCAGTGGCCAGAGGAAACCTGGCAACCCGAGCCACATTCTTCAGTATTAAGTATCTCAGCAATTATCTTGCCTCAGGCCTGATTTTTTTTTAGCTGGGTCCATCTCATCCTGGTCCTGGTGTTTTGTGACCTTCATCATTCTCTTCATGATTCTGTCATCTACTCCTTTCATTTATATTCTGCACGCTGCACTGGCTCTTCTCTGTGCAGTATTACCTGATCTTATTTATTTTATTTATAATTTTGATTTATGAATTGCTCTATCCCTGAATACTCAGGGCTCTGTGTGATGAACAAAAATACTAAAACACACCAGAATAAGTACAACAAGATAAAACAGTTCCATGATTTAAATAAAACAATTCGCAGATGGCGTTGCCAGATTCTCAACTGTGCCACCGCTCCCTAAAAACAACGGAACAGAACTGGGAAAGGGAGGAGGGGGTGGACGGAAGAAGGAGCGGGAGTGCCAGCCAAGGTGCTACACATTGCTGCCCTCAACCAAAGGGCTGGCAGAACAGCTCTGCCTTACAGGCCCTGCAGAACTGCATCAGCTCCTGCGGGGCATGGATGTGATTCAGCAGAGAGTTCCACCAGGCAGGTCGAAGGCAGCCAGATGACATTCAGGCTGGGGACCACCAGCAAGTTGTTCTTGGTGGAGCGTAGTGCTTTTGGGAGACATATCGGAGGTGGTCCCGAAGGTATGTAGGTTGCCTCTATTGTTTGCTTCATTCATATTTATCTATATCCCTTCTTCCGTCACTTCACCTATGGTGAAGTTTAGATTGTCAGCGCCTTGTGCCCAGGAACGGTCTGTTTGTTGCTGCTATGTAAATCATCATGCAAACTCATGGCATTGTAATAATAAGTAAAATGTCTGGCTTCCTACTATAGGCTTCTCTTACTAAATACGATGATGCTTGAGGAACCTAATATAGTTGTTGGCAGATGTTTGTGCTCCTAGTGAACCCAAACGGCTTCCTTCTGCAGTGCATAACATTTAATGCTTTACTGAGTGAGTCTACTAAAGAAAAACACATATTTAAGTGTAGCCTTACTGTCCAATACTGCCTTCCACCCATTCATAGTCTTTGCTTCTATTTCTTTACAAAATAATTGTGTTAGTTCCTTTCCTTCCTGGGTTGTGTGTGTTTGTCCTCTATTCTGACTCAGTACAGCAACATTAGGTTGGCAATAAGGAAGAAGGTAAATAATAAGGGAAAGAAGGATGGCCCCTCCAGAACACGTTTAGTTAAAATATAAAAAAGGAGGGGAAAGTCCAAATCTTTCTGATTTTATGCTCTGTTACCTGTTTGAGGATTTACTCTGTCTGACGATCCCATTAGTGTAACACATTCATATTTGCACAATGCATCTCACTGTTTTTTGTTTTTTTTCCCTTTTATGTATGAATGGTACTTTTACAAGTGTGTACAACTGTGCTTAAGACTTTTGGTCATGCAAGCCGAAATGAAGTTGAAGTTAAAATATACAAGGAAACTCCATCTTATTGGCAGGGTTTAGGCATGCAGAAGAATGGAGCACCAACTATTTAAAAAAAAATAACTTGGCTTATCAAAGAAGAAATAAACTCTGATAAAACAGAGGAGAGGGAAAGAAGCATAACTAATTGACTAACTGCTGAGAGAGACAGGAATGAAGGGGGAAGGCTCAGTTGGAGCAGAAAGTGTCCAAAGAGCCAATCAGGAGACAGGAAGGGCATAATTTGAAAATGTGGGCGTCCCTAATCTAGCTATGCTAACTAGCAGTCCTTCAACTGTCCCTGGTAGGCTGTGCTTCTGATCCTCTTCAAGTAGGGGCACTATAGACCTTGTATATTCCAACACATCTACCATTTGGATGTAGACATAATATGCCGTTGGCCAGTTCTTTGTATGTGTGTCTTCTTCAATTGCTCCTTTAATCCTGTATATGAAAATGATATGTACAGAATAGAAAATGATGCCTTTGAGGGGATTGAATTTTGCTTCAAAGGGTCTTTTCCAGATAGAGTTTTTCAGAGTGTCCTAGCAGAAAACCCATTGCTTCCTCTTCCCAGTATTCATGTTTGAGCATCATGAAAAGATGATGAAAACTGTAATGAGAACAGAAACAGGTCAGCAGGGCCTCGAATGTATCATTTTGAATTGAAGGTTTAAAAGTTATGTTGAGCCAAATTGCTGTGGGATATTATAATACATTAGAACTGGATGCTAATCAAAACCTGTACCAGACTTATAGACAAGTATCTTAACTCAGATTTCAAATCACTTTGTCACAAATATGCAACTTTAATTGTGTCTGTGAATTTGAAAAGGCCTGTAAATGTTGGCTGAGATTTTAGCATTCCACAGGAAAGTCTGAATTATCTCCCTGGTCATTCTCCTTTCTAGGCTCTTAAAATAAAATTGTTCTTGCATGAAATCTTAATTGAGCTGAAACCAGGAAGCTGGGTGATGCTGAAAGCATAGCTGTTCTAAATTCTGTAAATGCAAAGAGATGAAACAATGCAGCAGTGAATGTGAACGTTTTGATTATATGTCCAACAAATGGCCACAGTATATAAACAATTATGGACTTTTGTTTTGTGTCTGCTTCAGCTCTAGAGCAACTACTTTCAGAACTTGAAGGTTTTCTGAAGATACTGGACAAGGAAAATCTCAGCAGCACTGCCATAGTGAAGAAGAGCTTTCTCTCTGATCTCCTTAGGCTCTGCACAAAATCAAGTGGTAAGCATATTCTTATTAAGGAGTACTGATTTCAGCTGTTATTTTTTTGTTACCCACATTAAGCTGTGTCTCCATCCCCTTTGGAAATCTATAGTGTCCTGTACTTTATATAAAAACAGCCAAGGGTTGGATCCAAATTTTCCCATGCATAAGCAAAAAATATTTGCCTGATATTACTACATATTTTCTCTCTCGAGCTGTATCTTCCTTCCTCCATGCTGTTCTTGATGGTCTCTTGACCTCAGGAACATCTCTTTTGGTGATTCAAGGAGCTGGAGAAGACAAGGGGAGGCAGGGAATATCAGATCCAGTGTGGAACGCAGCTTTCAGTTCTTCAGATCCAACTTGAGAGTCCTGTGACACCTGAACATTCATAAATTTATGGGGATGGAAGCTTTGTAAGACTATAGCCTGCTTTATAAGGTGCATGAAGTAGTACCCTTAAATGTCAGGTATGTATATTCTGCACATGAGTATAGAGGAGACAGGCTGTGATGTTCCAAGGGTGGCAGTAGTTCTGTCACATTTCATCTTGAGCACTGCAATGCATGTTTATTCACTGAGGTTTCCTGCATCTTGTAATTGGCAACTGTGGCAATAATATCAGCTTTGCAATGACGGGTGTTGATTCTTTTAAAGTGCTTATTTTAGCATACAAAAATTGTTTGCAGCTGTGCTGGTCCAAAATCCAAAACCAAACCGCGGGCCAAAAACCTCTTCTTATTAGGACTAACCAGGGCTCTAGTCGGGGGGGAGCTCTCAGGTACGGAGCTCCGGAAGAGAACCTCTAGGGGGCGGGGCGGTCACGTGGTGAAGCCCCGCCCCCTTCTTTACCCCGCCCTCTGCTTCGATCGTCATTCCGTTTGGGAATGAGGATGAAGCAGGAGGGTAAGTAGCCGGGCCTTCTGACACACTTCCGGTGATGTCAGGGGGTGTGGCCTTCTGTCACTTCCGGTGATGTCAGGGGGCGTGGCATATGCAAATAAGTTATGCTAATGAGTTATGCTAATGAGCTCCGGCAGCTCTTTTTCTACAACAAGACCCCTGAATATAACCAAAATGACCCAAAACAGTGAGTCAAGCTTTTAAGTTCTCCAGAGCACAGGGGTGCTGGCAAGAAAAGGCCTTCAAAATCATGGCCTGAAACATCTCTGTTTGGTGTAGTGGTTAAGTGTGTGGACTCTAATCTGGGAGAACCGGGTTTGATTCCCCACTCCTCCACTTGCACCTGGCTGGATGACCTTGGGCAAGCCATAACTCTGGCACAGCTGTTCTTGAAAA